ATGTTTGTATGTGTATGTATTTTTAATTATTGTATGTATTTTTTCACCAATGTCAAAAAACCTTTAATCTGACACGTTCCCATCTTTGATTATCAAACGAAAGTTTACCTAATTTTCTTTCGAGAACTTTTTCTATGTTTACTCGAATGTTTTTTTGTATGTTTTTTTATACGTTTGTTTATTTAATGTTTTTGTTTGTTTGTATGTTTGCTTGTATATTGTTGTATATTTTTTGTATGTTTTGGTATGTTTATTTGAATGTTTCGGTATGCTTTTCCACACATACTGTTGTGTTGAAGTATTCAAGCATCTACACTTAACATATATTATACGTTCTCACAAACATACATGCACACAAACACACACAAACACAAACATACATACACACATATACTAACAAACATACAAACAAACACAATGTCATATATATATATATATGGATTTATTGTGTAACAATTAGATGCAATGCTGAACGAGTGCCTGCTTGATTAAAGCATTAGGCGGAAAAAACTGAAATAAAATTACTCGAAAAGTACCATCATCATTATCATTATCTTCACCATCATCATTATCATTATCTTCACCATCATCATCACCAGTACCATCATCATTATCATTATCTTCACCATCATCATCACCACCTCCAGCAGCATCATCACCATCGTCACACCAAACAAATTACACAACTCAGTCACAGCGCGTTCCATTTCCCTCTTGTACCTTCCATGCGTCACGTACTCATATGCTGACGTCATTTCCGTTTGTTCTCGTGGCTGCATTCTGTTTTCATCAACTGTACTTGCTACTCGTTGATTTACGAGCAGCTTAATTTTTTCATCTTTTTTACAGGTATGTAATTATTGGTTTTATTCAGTTTTTTTAACTTTTTCCTCTCAATAATAATAACAATAATAATAATAATTATTATTATTATTACTATTATTATTATTATTATTATTATTATTATTATTATTATTATTATTATTGCGAAAGGAGAACTGTATAACCATTTTTAAATAAACTACCTCGAGCCCTTATCCTAGATAATGACCATACTGTACCAATGAAATTCTATTTTATTTTTATTTCATTTCCCCTATTGATTTATTGATAATAAAAGAGTTTTAATTATTATTATTATTATCATTGTTATTATTATTATTAATTTCATTTTTATCATTATATTTTTGTTTAGCTTTTTTGTCCGCGCTGTGTATGATTTAGAGTTTGAGACTTTTGCTTATACTATTCTGTGATTCTTTTTAGAAAAAGCAATATTTACGATTTCGACATTGTCGTCATTATCATTATCATTATTATTGTTGTTGTTGTTGTTGTTGTTGTTGTTGTTGTTGTTATTATTTTTCTATATTTCTGTTACCACCATCATCGTCGTCGTCGTCATCATCATCATCGTTAAAATTAGTTAATCATTCCATATTTATTGCTATCGATCAATCTTGAAACATTTTCTAAAAAATTCAATAGAAACACCCAAACAACAAAAACAACAACAACAACAGCAACAATAACAATAATAATAAGATAAATAATAATAACAATAATAAGTTTTATTAACATGCTTCGATCGATAGGACGGAAGAAGATGCTTTCTTAATGGCAAATGTAGAACTGGGCTAATAATAAAAGGATAAAAGATGTGTGTTAGTAGTAGAGGCAGTAGTAGTAGTAGTAGTAGTAGTAGTGGTAGTAGCAGTAGTAGTAGTAGTAGCAGTAGAGTAGTGGTAGTAGTAGTGGTAGTAGTAGTAATAGTAATAGAAGTAGTGGTAGTAGTAAAGTAGTAGTAGTAGTAGTAGTAGTTGTTGTTGTTGTTGTAATAGTAGTAGTTTACTTTCATTATCATCTTCTTCATCATCATCATCACCACTATCATCATTATTATGGCAACATTGATCATCATTATCATCATTACTACACCACATTATCTCTTTCCATTAGTAACCAGTTTCACGCGTAACAAGTGAATGATTGTTTAACCATCTTACCTAATAACATACACGCACGCACATTCACACACACACCACAAACAAACTTAAACATAAATCCAAGGACACACACATAAACACATACGCAAAGGGATACAAACATACATAAAAATAAAAGTACACACATTCATACAATTACACCAACAAATGCATACAAGCACCGCACACACACACGCACACAAACACACATGCATACTCAAAAACCACATGTGGTGCAACACATTTACTTACACACATACCTGTGTGTTACTTTCACCTACTATAAACTAACCACGAAAAAAAATTGAACATTATTTATATGTACTTTTTAAATTTTATATGAAATTAAATTTAATTAGATAAATTTTTTTAATTTTCAAAAAAAAAGAATATGAACTGAGAATTTTTCATGAGCCTGCCATCTTCAAACAGAATGACATCACGTCGTCAATATTTGTAACATTAAAGAGGCTATCTTGAAATAATTGTTATTATTATTAATGTTGTCGTTGTTGTCGTTGTTGTTATCACAGTTGTTGTTGTTGTTAGTGTTGTTTTTCTTAGCCAGCAATCCTCAAATTTTAGCTTAGACAGATTTTAGGATGGTAGCATCTAGCTTCAGTGATGTTTCAATACAATCTCATTAAGAAGTCAAAGATTATGGTGTGTGTTTGTGTGTGGCGTGTGTGTGTGCGTTCTGTGGCGTGTGTGTGGCGTGTGCGCGCGAGTCGTGTGGTGTGAACATTACAAGTTTTATGGCAAAACTTTTGATTTGAAAATGAGTATGAGATGTTGCCTTTTTGGGATAATTTTGACAAATTTAAAGCTTGAAGAGTTTTTAAAATTCAAATTTTTTTATCCCACTTTATCAAAAAATTTATTGCACTAAAATAATTTTGTTCACAAAATAGAAGTTGTATAAACAAACATTCACATAAAAATGCATTATATAGAAAATTATTTGTGTAAGATGCATGTATAAAAAACAGTCGTGTATAAGAAGCATGTGAATGTGTATAAACGAATTTGATTAAAATAAACATACATAAACGTACCTAAACTTACACGAACACACATAAACATACGTAAAATACATACGAGAAATATTAATTTAATTTATTTGATTTGGAAAATTCATAAAAATTTGATAAAAATCTTTAAAAATTTGTAAAATATTTTGAGCAAGACAATATAAAATGGTTTTTCAAACGGTTACACACATATGCGTACACACACTTACACACAAAATGTTATGGATACATTTGCTAAGTTGTTTTGAGCTTCGTAAGGCATTATGTTTCAAATTTTTCAAATACAAACTAAAAAAATTATCGTTTATATTGTAAATTTTGAGATGTTTAGAGAAGTTTAAGCCAATGAAGAGTGCATAATTTGTTCATAGATCGTTTTAATATGGTTAGAATATTTGTAGGAAGGTTTATTTTCATGTTTATTAGCAAGAGTGCTTCTAAGCTGTTTTTAAAATATGTTTGTAAAAATTAAGAATGATTTTCAATCGGCTCGCTAGAGTGACATTTCTTTATTCTGTTTCATGTTGACGAGCCACGTAGCTGCCTGCAAATCTAAATTGAGAGCTGCCTGAGTTGGCGTTAGCTGTTGTTGTTGCTGCTGCTGTTGCGACTCTTGCTGCGAATGTGGCTGGTCCGTTCGTTGTAGAGTTCGATGTAGGAATTGTTGTTTCTGCTGTGGCTGTTGTTGTTGTTGCTGCTGTTGTTGTTGTTGCTGTTGTTGTTGTTGCTGTTGTTGTTGTTGCTGTTGCTGTTGTTGCTGTTGCTGTTGTTGTTGTTTTTGGTATGAGTATTGCTTTGTCCTCGGCTCAAAACCAGAAGATAGAGAGTATCTTGAAATCCTGTGTGGAGGAGAGAATCTTTTGAAAAGTCTTTGCTGTTTTTTGTGTTGTTGATGTTGTAGCTGTTGTTGTTGATGATGTTGCTGTACTGGTGTAGACAGAGATTTCTTCAACTTTGTTCTATGTTCCATTTCCATGTCATCAAACAATTCTGCTGCTGATTTCGTAGTCTTTAATGTCGTTGCTGTGGCCACTGTCGGTGCGATTGCTAGTGTTGATGTGTTGGTAGTTGCTATTGAAGCTGCTGCTGCTGATGATGAACTTAATGTTGATGTTGTTGTCGTTGTTGTTAATGATGTTGACGCGTTAGCAGAATTTGTTAATGCTGTTGTTGTTGTCGAAGAAGGTTCAGAAAGCTGTCTAATTCTTAATTTTTTCCAGTGCCGTTGGGGCTGTTGTGGTTGTTGTTGTGGTTGTTGTTGCGGTTGTTGTTGCGGTTGTTGTTGCGGTTGTTGCGGTTGTTGTTGCGGTTGCGATTGTTGTTGCTGAGTCTCATCCTGTTGGCCTTGCTGCGAAAGAAGCTGTTGTAGCGATGGTAAATGGCGATGTTGTGAATCATTGTCCAGTGCGAATTGTTGATGTTTATTTTGATGTTGTTGCTGCTGTTGTGGCTGCTGTTGCTGCTGCTGTTGCTGCCTTTGATTTTGTAGTTGTAGTAGTTGTTGATGATGACATATATCTTGGTGCTTTGGATGTTGTTGATGTTGCTGTTGAATCTGTTGTAGATGTTGTTCATTTAAATACTGTTGTCGCTCAAGATCTTTTTCATGTAGATGTTGTATTAGTTGATGATGATGTTGTTGTTGCTTCAATTGTTGACGTTGTTGTTGTTGTTCTTTTGGCGACATCATTTCGTCATCTATTGTCAACATTTCAAATCGTTCGCTGGTTCTTTGCTGCTGCTGCTGCTGCTGATGATGTTGCTGGTCGTAATGAGGTAACTGTTGTTGTTGTTGCTGCTGCTGCAAAAGTAACCATTTGTGCTGTTGTTGTTGAAGTTGTTGCTGATAGTAAAAAAAGTAGAAAGATAAGTTGTCTATCGGTTCCATTGTAACGTTTTCGTAATGATGATGCAGTTGTTGTTGTTGCTGCTGTTGTTGTTGCTGTTGTTGTTGCTGTTGTTGTTGCTGTTGTTGTTGCTGTTGTTGTTGCTGTTGTTGTTGCTGTTGATGTTGTTGTTGTTGCTGCTGCTGCTGATGTAAACACTCGGGTAGAAACTGAAAGGGCGACCTTAGAAGAACATCTTCAGTTGAGCTTTCTTTTGAGAAAGTGTGTAGTTTGTCTTGTGGCTGATGATGAAAGGAAGGATACGGGTGTTGCTGCTGCTGTTGCTGCTGTAGTTGCTGCTGCTGCTGCTGAAGTTGTTGTTGTTGTTGTTCTAACTGAAAATAACTATTTAATTGTTGATGTTTTTGTAATTTTTCCTGTTGAATTTCATCTTGACGATGAGGATGATGTTTGTGCTGGTGTGGCTGCTGGTGCAATTGTAGCTGTAAGTGTGGCGATGATTTGTGGTGTTGTTGATGTTGTTGGAAAGCTGCTTGTTGTTGTTGTTGTTGCAATAAACTTGGAATGTTGCTACTAGGAATTTGTTGATGCTTTTGTTGATTGTACTGCCTTATCTGCTCCTCCAATAGATCGTTCTCGATCTAATCACGTGATCGAAGACGTCATCACATTCATTACGTCATCATCAAAATTGATGTAAAAATCTTACTATAACTACATAGGCTAAAAATGGTTTATTCATTGTACGTGCATCTTTATCATTAGCGTCGTCATCAACTTTTATCACCATCAACATTACTATCACTATCATCATCACCATCATAATGAATAATAATTATAATAATAATTATTATAATTATAACCGAATATCGAACCTTGGCGGTTTCTATGTCGAACGATATTTTGCCCATTCCTGTCATGGTTTTTAGATCCATCCATCCATCGAAGCAAACGCATACGCCATTTAGTATGAACCTACTATTCATTA